GAGGACGAGAGAGCAGGGATCCCGCCCTGGGACACGGAGGACGAGAGAGCAGGGATCCCGCCCTGGGATACTGAAAACCAGGTGGCTGGTGCACCCTGGGTGCCTTACCTGCCGCCCCTCCAGCTCGATCTGGAAGTTCTTGGCCGACTCCTGGGTCACGCGCCCCCCGAAGTCCAGCTGGTACACCTGAGTGGCCTCGTTCCACAGGGGCTGCTTGTTGGCCATGACATAGACAAAGCCCTGGCTGCCCAGCCGCCCCTCCTCCCTCTCATTGGCCTTTCGGCACTTGAACTCCTCCAGCTCGCCAGCTGTCCGCAGGCTCCGCTTGCTCTTCCAGCCCTTCTTGCTGCCCTGACTTTGGTTCATCAGCTCATCCCCGCTGATGAACAGCTCCGGCTCGCTCTCCGAACTGTCCTGGAACTCGTTCGTCTTGTTCAGCTTCTTGGACTTCAGCTGGTCCTTCTGGCTCTTCACTTTCTTCTTCTCTCTCCCCAGGCGGGGGCTGGAGATGAGGGAGTTGAAGTCACTCAGAGTCCGGGCCTCCTTCTTCACTTTGCCCTCAGTGATGGCCTGCACGCTCCCTTCCTCTGCTCGGCTGTCCACACGCTTCCGGTTCTTCTTCCCAAACTTTTCTGTTCGCTGGGGGACGGGGCTTTCTGTCAGGGAGAGCACCTCCTGAAAGTTGTCCGCCGTCTCCACCATCACCTCGGTGCCCACGTGGCTCTGCAGGTCGGGGGGCGGCGGGGACATGACAGGCTTCTCCACCACCAGGTGCGGCTTGGGGGGCAGCGTGCCCTGGGAGTTCTGCAAGGGGGGGCACGTGCTGTAGGAGTTCCAGGGGTGCAAGGCGAGGGGTGGCAGCTGTAAACTGGAACACGTGCTGCCTCCTGGGTACGTGGGGGGCAGGGTGCAGTAGGAGAGGCTGGGCGGGTACACTGGCTGCAGGACCACGGCCGGCTCCTGTTGTGCAAACTGAGGCGGGGCCAAGGAGTCTTTTGGGGAGCAGGGAGCCTGCACCCCCTGCAGTGGGGTGCTGCTATAGCTCCCTGCGTACGGCACACCCACCCCATAGCCTGTCTGGAAGGTGGCAATAGGGCTGGCTGGCGACTTGGGGGAGACAAAGGGCACACGGGACACGTCCAGATGCTGGCTCTGGCCCATCAGCAGAGGGGAGAGTTTTAGGGGGTTGGGCACTGAAGTCTGTGCTGTCCTTTCCTGAGGAACCCAAATGTCCTCGCCCAGCACAGGGTCCCACTGGTAAGGGGGTGGCCGCTTCACTGAGGTGACGGCTGCGTCAGCCAGCAAGGGGTGCCGCAGGGGCCTCTCGGCCTGACAGTGCTGCGACAGCGCCTCATCCTCGGTGAAGGCCGAGTTGATGTAGTCTGCGCGGTCCCGGGAGCTGTCCAAGGGGCCCAAGAGACTATAGGAGGACTGCGAGGTCAAGGGGGACGTACTGGCCGAGTGCGCCAAGGCCATGCCCGGCTGAGAGCTGGAACCCGCACTTGGGTCAGGCCGCCCCCCACTGCCTGCAAGGCCGCCTGCGAGGCCACCTCCGAGGCCCGACACAGTGCCCCCCACCCCAGCGCCCCCGCTGGAGCCGCCCCCACTGCACTGGCTGCACGTGTACAGTGCCGGCGGGGGTCGAGCCGGGAACGGGGGTGCCACCATGCTGCTCTTGGGCTTGGGTGGGTGCTGCAGGGTGGCGCGCTGGTGGTCGACCAGCTGGGCCA